GGCCCCAGCCCCGGCCCCGGCCCGCTCATGCCGCCCAGACCCAGCGCAACCAGCCACCGCGCCCGCCAGCAGGCTCCGCTCCGCCCAGCCGCGGGGGCTGCCCCCGGGGTCTCGGCCAGGAGGGGCTGGCGGGAAAGCGACACGAGGGTGGGGACAGAGGGCTGCGCGGGGATTGGACAGCAAGCCCTCAAGCCCCGCCCCCTCCGTTCTGACCTCACAATAGAGGCGAGGCGGTTCGGAGCGCCAGGCTTTCGGAGCAGTCACTGGGACTCAGGGGCGCCACTCAGGACCGGGGGGGGGGCCTCGTTGCCTAGCGCAGCCTCCCTGTTGTTCCCCAGTCAGAAAAAAAAAAGACACTAGAACCTAGGATCGTAGGAAAGTAAGGCCGGAAGGCACCTCAGGAAGACAGCTAGTCCAGAGTTTCTCAACCAGGGTCGTGCCCCAAAACTGCATGGCAAGAATATATAGAAGGGTCCCGAAAAAACTTTAAAAAATGGATTCTCCTTTCAAAAGTTCCAGCCTACAAGGGGCTGCTTGGGTTCCCCCCTGCCTCCCTGAGAGACACGCACGTGCAGCCTCCCCCCGCATCTGTAATGCTGCCCCCTTGGACTGGGAAGGAAGTGAGGAACTGAATTTGTTCTTTCCAAGGGAGATTGGTGCCTCCTGGGTCTGCGGGGGGGTCACCATTTGTGGGTGGGCCCGGGGGCGGGCCAAAAGCCCCAAATCCACTCCTATACTGTGCTGCGGCTTAGTGTCCCCCTCCCCCAAACACCGCCGGCCAAAAAACTGCTCCACATGGGGGGGGGGGGGGCACGTGCTCCCTCTACCATTCGCCTCGGGTTTTTTCAGTAGAAATCTGACGCCATTATCGGCTATCATGGCAATACGGGCCCTCCAACATATACAGAGTATACAAGGTGTTTGTATGTGAGAGTAAAAGAGCTGGGTGAAGAGAAAGTGTTTGTGTGAGGGGGGAGAAAGGGATTAGAGTTTGAAGATGCTGGAATGAGGAAAAGGAAGGGGACACACATGTGAGGGACAATGGTATAACTAGGGCAGGGCAACACAGGCAGCTCCCCTGGGTGCTGAAGGGGATGGGGCAGTAGCAGCAACCAGAAGTCACGACTGCTCCTGTGTGCAGCAGCCACCCTGGGCACCTGGCCACGCATGCTGCTGGTGAGGGAGGAGAAGGAGATGTGAGTGGTATGTAAATGTTCTCTTGTGGGCTCAGATCAACCGTAGTCCTTTGCTTACCTGGTAAGGGAAATACCATGACCACTGACCTAGACGTACCTGGGGAAGACGGCTTTCCTGGCACTGGGATAGTACCTGCCAAGGTAATGTATAATAAACTTCCCACTTAGCTGCTGGAGTGGGAAGGTCTTGGCTTTATACACACTTTATGGAAAGGGGAGACTCCTCCCTGGCTTGCTCCTGCGGCCTTATGGCCGAGGGCAAGCAAAACTCAGGGGCATCCAAACCCCAAGCCTCCAGGCTTGGCCCTACAAGTAGGATGCCTGCCAAAGGATTTGGGAACATCTGAAGCCCCAGATGGGGGTGGAGGATGTCTGCCGGTAGTAGGGTCACTTATGGTTCTGGACTGACTCACAGATTTGGAATTTGATATAGCTAATTTGGCTTGGAATATGGAAAATTTAAATAAATAAATAAATAATGTGTAAATGTTAGCACATGGGATGGAGACTGAAGCAGTGGCAGAATTAAATGAAAGTTAGCTCTCTATCTCAGTTTATCTGGACAAGGTTTTTGGTTGTGTCAGAGAGCATAACCAGAGGATTTTATCTAGGCTAAAAGATATACTTAGGGGGGAAAATGATTCTAGGTAAGCTTGGCTAACACTGAATGTTAGCAGCATTTATGTCCTCAGGCAACTCCTCCTCCTTCTCATGTCCTTGTTGTGACAAGGCATTTAGCAGAATTTGCAGATTTGTTGGAATCTGACAGGGCTGCACCAGGACCGCTTCTCCTACAGCCTCAAGCTTGCAACTCTGGCCTGTCAGCCATGGACCTTAGCACCCACACCACCCCTGTCTCCTCAGGCAAGAAAAGTGATCAAAAAGACAAGAGCTAGCTAAAAACTGTAGAAAGATCTTAATCACAGAGTAGAGGATTAAGGCCATGAGTACATGAATAGGTGAACCACAGCAAGTCAAGCTGTTTCAGTTTTTAAAAGACTGTGAGCACAGTGTATAAACAATGTAGGCTTGCCTCAACAGTAGCAAGTCTATCCCTATATGTATCAGGGCAAAAACACATGAGCAAGTTATTTCAAGGTAAAAGGAAGGTGGAGAATTGCAGCTAGTCGGCTGCTCCGTAGCAGCTGCCCACGTACTCCCTCTTATTTCATGATGCAATAAAGCCTTTCATTGAGGTATAGGCAGCTGTGAGTGAGCTTTCATGTACCTTGTGCTACAAGCACACAGGGGCACATAAGTCATAACTGTGAAACAGCTGACGCTACAAATCCCTGCTCTCATTTCCTTCACAGTATGTTCCTTGTGTGTCCATGCCCTCAGGGACAATTTTCTCACACTCCTATGTTTGCCCTCCACTGCACATTCTGTTTGTTTCTCATGCTTTTATATGCACATCATGTTTATTTATGCACAGTGCAGTGCTCTCTGGGTTTACGCCTGAAACTCAGCCCATGTGTCCAAGCCTACATTTGCCTTTTGGTAAACGTGTGGTGTTATCTTGGCTAATCAGTGTATGTATTTACAACTGCCATAGGTCTCAAAATATTTCACACTCCAGTTCTTTGTGTGTGTCACTGGTTTTCATCTATTGTTTTAAGCTGCTCAAAAAATACTACCATGAGTACCTATTCAACCTCTTTACTTCTACTACGTGTAGTAACATTTTAATGGTGAAAGATACCAAGCAAATTTTTTAACTTTCACTTTTTCTAGGAATGAGAAATAGAGATGGGACTGATTTCTCAGGAATGCAAAACTGTGAGAGAATAATGATCTGAAGCTCTTATTATTTTCTCCAAAAGAGCAATAACCTCATATCCCTCGCTGTGCCTCCCCCCTCTCCCCCTTCCCCTTGTTTCGCCCAGGAACAATTATGATTTTTTTTTCATTCTTTAACAACATATTCAGTGATGAAAACATCACTGGCAGAGTTAAATTTGCCCTTCCAAACTGTCAAGTTCAGCAGTATTCAAACTAATAAAAAGCAGGAAATGAAGAATTAAGATCTTATGTATAATAAGACATACAGAGTTATGGTATGTGACCATGTAGTCTTCTTTGAATGATGCCCCAGCCCTGTGCTGTCACCACCGCCCTGGGAGTGCAGGGCCATCATCACACTTCCCATGGAGACCAGCCCAAAGTGATGTGGGCAGGGGCTGCTGGGAAATGAAGTCTACCGTGGGCTCAATCTGGCCCGCGGGCTGGACTCTTTGCCCACCCCTGCTGTAAGGGGTGGTAGGAGGCTGCACTTTCAAGGAGACTCTGCAGAGCCTTGACAAGGGGTCTACTTCAGCCCTAATGACAAGGCCCTCTCCCAGCAATCTGACCACTGAAAGGGCACGTCTACATGTTCATTAATGTGCAGTACTTATTGCATGTTTAGTTTAGTACTTGCTTAATGGAATACTAACTAAATGCACAGTAACTATAGTTACTGCACAGTAGTGCCGGTGCACAGGTTTTTTTGTGACACTCAGTACACAGTAGCCTAAAAACAATGCACAGTAGTGTATTAGCACGGTTTTTGACCAGCATGCTACTGTGCAGTGTTATTATGCTACTACACAGTAAGCATCTTGTGTAGATGTGCCCAGAGAGTATCAAAATGTGGCAGACAAGTCAAATGGGGAAGCTGAGGAAGAGAGC